CCTGCCTTCGGCCAAGAAGTTTGGTATAAGATCAAGAACTACGCGGATTCTAAAGAAAAGATCGTGGCTGGAGCTCTTCCTGATCTACCTCCCCGATGGCGCAAGGCTCGATACCGAGGAGTGGCACCAGATGTACAAGGAGGCCATGTACTTTGTCGAGAAGATGGTGGATTGGTTATTGCGAAGGGCATCAGAATGGATGTGGTGGAACCCGAGGGTCTTGACCTACTACCTCCAGTCGCAGCCGTGGTGCCAGCTGAAGAAGAAATTCCTCCTGAGAAAAGGTTGAGGACAAAGTCAAAGGGCGTGGAAGAGATCACCGACAAGGACCTCGAAGACCTTTTTGACATTGACAAGAGGGAAGTGATTGAGGCCCCCCCAGTGATGTCGAGAATGGTTACCGAACCGGAAAAACTACATCCTGCCGAGGCCTACGCTCTGAAGATCCTCACCAATATTTCCACGGAAGCAGTGCAGCCCAACCAGATTCACCACCTCTTCAACCTTTTGCCGGATGAACGTTTTCCCCGAGGTGAAGTACCACCGGGTGAAGTAAATGAGAACAACTCCAGATCACGGGCGAAAGAAAAGAAGGCCTGGTCAACAGGCGCCTTCATCCATGGAGGAGTGGCGGGCCTAAGGCGTTCTACGAGGTCGTTCCCAACAACCACGAAAGTGATCAATGCTTACATCAAGCAGGTGGACCCGAACCACCAATGGACCTCAGTGGCCATCCTCAAGAACCACCAGACCGCGATGCACAAGGATCCCCACAACAGCCTCTACCACCAAACGCTTTTGGCTCCTTTGACGAAGTTCCGGCGTGGTGGACTGTGGGTACCTGGTCCTGAAGAGGGGTACGCAGTAATTCCTCGCCAAGTCCAAGGGCGGAAAGTGGATGGACATGTGCTACAAGTATCTCGAGGTCCAATAAAGTTCTATCCCCGAGATTGGCATGAAGTTTCAGGCTGGTCGGGAACCCGGGTGGTGCTGGCTGCCTACACGATTCGATCTGATGAAAGGATCAAGGGGCCAGACCGGGAGTTTGCGAATGA